AATGGCATCCTTGCCTTTGCAATATTGACGAGAATGCATAATTTTGTTGAAAACAGACTTTTTTTTTGACAAAAACGAAACCGTCTGCAAACCACTTAATCTGATTATGCGGACCTTGTGTTGGAAGTAGCCCTTTGCCGCGTTGGGCAATATGGATTCGAAAGTCGCATTTCGCTTAAGGATATCATAGCTAGGCTTCAGTGGAGAATTTTCGATGCAGCTGCTTGAACAGTAGCGGTGCTACATTTGAAGCATAATAACAATGAAATCTTGAAAGAACTTATGAACGGATCGGATCATGAAAAAACGAGGAAAGGTTTTGATTATCGTGGCAGGCTAAACTATTCAAACGATCAATGATTGTCAACGCGTCATGAACTCAACGCAAGCCTTTATCATTTTGTCAACGGCAAAGATTATCATTCAGGAAATTCTTCCTGCCCAAATTTTTACCATAATGAGCTCGGTATTGATTAACTGAACTACAGAAATTTGCTACCAGAAGCCTTCATGATTTTTTCTGCTTATGAAGAAGTGCTTGACATGAATCATCAATCTCATCAATAGCAGCGAATAATATCATGAATCATGACACTATTCGCTGCTATTGATGAGATTTGTAGCTGCTGTAAGCTTATTTTCCGCATTCCATAATTTTTATGTTTGACAAGAATACATGAAACATCCTTCCAGCAGAAATGCAGTTAATCCAACGTTGCGAAAACATCTCTATTAGCTCCGCCTTCTTCAATCCTTTGCGTTCCTTCCACTTTCGCTTTCATTTTCTTTCGTTGGAAAGAGTTAGTTAGACTCGTTTTCCGCGTTCCACTTTGCTCTTACAGTACATCGCTCTAAAAATTCGCAAGTGCGGTTTTTAAAACTATAGCATGGGGTGTCATTGAGCTAGATTTGCGTGCATTCTTCGGGTCGTGGCGTATGAACCTAGGTTCCTTCCACTCTAATAACCATTCTTTTATGTGGCCATGTACATCGGGTCGGATCTTATTGTGGATGCGTGTAAATGAATAATACTGAGGAGTTGAAAAAACACTTTTTGTTCCGTTCGCATCTCTTAGTGAGATTATTGCGAGTTTGTGCAAACTCTCAAGTGTAAACTTCTTTCTGATCCCTTTCTGTTTACTCAGCAATGCAACTATCATATCCATATGTTTAAAGATAAGGTCCTTTCAATTTATCTGATGTGAAGCGTAGCAAGGAGCTCTTTGCAATTGACATCATAAATTCTTATCAGTGACAAGTGAGTGCAGCAAAACGTGCATCTACTTTAGCATGCATATATTTGATTTTCTACGCAAAAGATGAACGCGTGGCATGCTTGACAACTGGCTGTGAACGAAAAAGAGCAGACGCGCTAGCCATCGTACGTTCTCTCAAACTCATCCTGTTTAGTGCAATGTTAACATTATCTCTTGCTGCTGAAGGGATTTTCTAATTTAGAACTATTAATATTGGGTTTCAAAGCTAGTTTCATTTTTTACAAAATCTATAAGGTATTTCTTTTCGAGACTCAAACAACCTTTACCATGTAGGTTTCCGCTAGTTGGTCCTTTCAGAATTTAGTAAATTTTATAGTGATCCAAATCTATGTTTGTTTGACATGTTGATTGTGGCTTCTTTTATCTATTTTAGTAATTAACATTTTCTATCAGCGCGGAAATTAGCCTAATGAATTGTATTTAATGTATTCTTCACGATTTGTGGGTGCAATGTGCTCTCGCCGTCAGCTGAGGCTTGCAGCTCCATATCTCTGCACGCGCCGTCGCCAATCTCCACCACGCAGTGTTCTTTCGCTGACCCTCTTCAACCCTTCTCTCGCCTGCCAATGCTATTTCGGACCCCCCATGCCTATGCTTTGGTCCATCCGCGAACACGACGCCTTTTCGAACTCCGAATCGATATTTCCTAGGTTTTTCGCATTCCTTCCCTGTTGGCTGTCTTTTCCTCGACATTTTTCTGCCTGCAAATGTAGTTCATGAAGTTTACTGTCGCATTTGGTTATGACATGTGTTTCAGGGTAATTGACAACACAACGAATGGTATTTACTACACGCAAGGGAGTAATCAGGGCTGGAAAAAGAACCTGAGCGGAGAGGAATCGAGCGACTCGCACAACGCCGGAGTTGTTGGACCAATGTCTTCGCCGGACCTATCCTCTACACCTGCGAAAAGTGTGTCTTCTGGGGGTACCACCGCGAAGAAGCCACAATCGCCTCAGAAAGAGGATAGGCCACAACCTCTTGCCAATGGAAGTAATCGGCTCTCTACTGGATCTTCTAAAGGTGTAAGAGGTGAAATGCGCAGCTCAGGCGCCAAGTCTGACTACTGGCATAAGAATGCCGAAAGACGCGATAGTGACAAGCCGAGGGCGTTTTACCAGCGCAATGACAGATATCAGTCGCGAAATCCTCATGCTCCTCCGAAACTCACCCCAGCACAGCGCAAGGCTCGTGGTCCACTTCCAGATTGGGAGGATATTCAAGATGGAGAGGATAACTTCGACTACATGAATCTAATGGACTCGCAGTACGCGCAGTACTATGCCATGTCATCGATACCACCATTTGATGGTGTTGGAGGCATGGATCCGCAAGTGGCAAGCATGATGATACAGCAGGCACAGCAGCACATGGCTGCTTTTGGTTTCCGACCAGCAATACCACTGATGCAACCACACATAGTGGCTCCCCCTGAGCCAGTTGGCGTTACGCCGCTTCTCAGTCCTCAAGGTGCTGTCCTAACTGCTGCAATTGGCGATTCCATCAATACAGCGATACCATTTGCGCCGATCTATCCAACACAGCCTCCATTTGTTCCTCTCAATGATGAAACGTTGAAGGATTGCGTTCGCAAACAAATGTGAGTTTTTGTCAACTTCTACTGCTGTAATTTCCATCACAACCGTGCCACTGAACAAAATTTACTTGAAATTCAGCGCTTTATATCGATTTGGTAAAACTGCGTGCAACTTAGGTTTTCTGCAAGGCATACATAGCACTTCCATCTCAATTATCTTATACGCCGCAACTTTGAGAGAATTTAAATGAATTATGAGAAACATCATATGCATCCATTAATTCTTTTGGGGCAATCAATCAAAAATCAAAACTTTACATTAAGCAATGCTTCATTATGCTTAGCAGTTGGCTCACATTTCAAACATTGAAACTTAACTAATACGAGTAAATATGGTTAATGTGTAAATATGAAAAAAAAGCTTCGCTCAGCAACCTTACATCTTATAGTTTTTCATAAAAAGTGCTTTTTAATATAAGAAATGACATTGCTTCTTGCACTCGATGTGTTCGTTTGCAGATCTAATACCTACTAATTTTCCCTTCCTGGGTTGAACCTCTTCCTTTCCTTCCCTTTTTAGGAATAAGCGTGCAAAACGGGTTCTCTCTTGAGAAACTCCGGGTTCGCACATCTTGACAATGAATTAATTTCTTGTTCAGCCTTGAAAAGCTTGTAGTTGGTGTAAGCTTTCAAGGCATATAGTTTGATCATAAACTTACTCGATTAGCTCTGTTTTAAAATTATAATAAGACGCAAGTGAGTGTTTTTCTTAGGAATAAGTATCGCACATTGTATTCCATGCTTTCTTGGTTGAAATCTGGCTCAATTGATATTTTGTCCTGTCATATCGCATCTAATCTAGGCATACTATTTTTGACATAGAGAGAACAAAATGAATGTTGTTTTGACAATGCGCACCGCTTTTCTTCTTATTTGATATTTTGGATAATTTTATATGGCAAAGCATGTTGTGTAAAATTTCATTCTGTAGGATACTAAGTGAAGTAGGTTGGAATTTCATACAACTTCTACTGAAATGTGCCCTATTTCAGCGAATACTATTTTTCTGCCGACAACCTTCAGAAGGACTTCTTCTTACGCCGCAAGATGAATGCGGAAGGATTTTTGCCCATCACTCTCATTGCCTCTTTTCCTCGTGTGCGATCTCTGACACAAGATCTTGCACTTATCTGTGAAGGTCTTCGCGATAGCGATAAGGTATGTCTTAATAAAGTTATGAAGGACTACTTATAAGCGGTTTTATATACTTTTTTTTCGAAAAGGGCAAGTCTAATCATGAACGGAAATCGTGAGGTGTTTCAGAAATCAGGTTTAATTTTTGAAGCCATTTCTTCATTGAGAGTTGGGATTTCCCTAGTAATTTTTTCCTCTGCAATCATGCTAGATGCCATTGACTAAATCTAAAAAGTGTTAATTAAGTTGTCGATTTTTGCTGTTGTTCTAGCTTTGTTGGTAAAATGTATCAAGTTTTTGCATGTTCAGGTGCTGTCCTTCTTGAAATTTTTGGAACACAATCTTTTGTTTTACAAAGGGCAGTTGCGTATTTTGGTGTCATGAAGAAGTTTTATTGTTTTTGCAATGACGGTTGAAAATTCTTTCGCGCAAAGAAACACTCTAATTTTGATTTAGTAATCATTTGAGTTACTTTTTTGCTTACATAGACGAGCGCGTTTCTCTTTTCGCATTCCTTTTCCCCTCAGTTTTGGCGAACTTTTACAACTAAAAAGTAAATAAACAATATCTTTTATGAATGCGCGTAAAAGCTAAAGCTATGTGCTATAGTATGGTTAGATAAAGTAGAATAATTCTTAGGTTTTTTGTTTAAGAAAGCTTTGATGCTTTTGAAGCGAGATGCAAGGAATGAGAAATTTGATAGAGATTTCTATAACCATTCAAAGTATAGACTAAGCTCTGCAGGTGGAACTGTCCGAAGACGCTAATATGGTTCGCCCACGTTTGAATCCCACTGAATGGCCCCTTACCCCAACGGTTCACCCCGCACAGCCAACTACTAGCCAAAGCGGAAGTCCATCTGCACCTAATCCAGAATCTTCGGAACCAGCAGATGCAAAGATTAAATCTGCGCAAGAGGAGCAGCCAACACAAAGCACGGTGAGTAGGGTTTTCGCTATTTTTTAGAGTAAACTTTTTCTTATCTGGCAGATTTGTTTAGGAGGTCAAAGGCAATGTAGCAGCGACAGAAGTCTCGAGCAAAGCTAACAGGCAACCTAATGCTGCTGAAAAGGGCTCAGAAGCGCAGCCGCGAGCTACTTTGCCTGTCAAACAGCCATCGGCTTCTGCAGAAGAAGTTCGTCGAGATCATATCATATGCTGAATCAGTATAAACGATATATTATTTATTTCAAAGGAGTAAGTTAACCCTGGGTTTTTTTCAGGGTTGGGAAGAAGTTAAACCAAAAAAGAAGGGTAAAAACCGTTCGGAGAAGCTTTCCTCGTCAAAAGAAGTGAGTGCAGAGCAGGATCTGGATTTTCAATTTGACAATGAACTCGATAGCACTACGGGAATCACGGAGACACCCAGAAAGGACAAACAGAAAAGTTTTCGACTGAGGTATGCTCTTTGACGTTTTCATGTTATCCAATATTAGATTTGATTCAAGCGATGTAGAATCTTATACCTTATTTACCAAACAACTTTGATGCGGCTTTTTAAAGCATTTGAAGAAATATCTAATAGAATAACTTCAACAATCGCCTATTCTTCAGAATTTAATTTCCAGTCACACCTTGAGTGCCTTGAAGTAATTGAAAAAAACAAATTAACCACTTTCAGAAACGATTTTGGTAGAGAGGGGAACGAGATGGGTTATAGAAAGAACTGATTGGAAAGTACAATTCATGTTGTTGTTGGCTAGATTATTTA